GTCCTGTTGGTCTCTAACTTTGATCAGTCCCCTGATCACAGAATAAACACCAACCCCCAGCAAAATCCAACCCTGTTTACTAAGGAAATTTGGCAATCCACAGTTTTGGGGGTGGAAAAGTAAGCTCTAGTAGACCAAATACCCGAAAACGATTGGTCTACTGATGTCAGCACCCCCTTCACAGACCAGGAACAAATGATTACAAGAGAACAAGTGAAGAACCGCCAGCTGGAGGTTAATAAATCAGGAAGGAGGACGAATTAAACAGCATTGTACATTCCTCCTGGGCGGAAACCATGTCCACTCTCTTTGGTGGGGAGTGCAAGTGTTCTGCTCCTAGTGGAGGCGCTGCTGATAAGACTGTCAGCTGATGCTACAGCTCTTCAAGGAAAACTCTGGCCGTAGGGTGTGGTAGGTGGGAGCGGGAGGTCAGCGACAGTCTTTGGAGAGAAGCCCGACGCTATTGAAATGTCATTTAAAGCTTCGAGGACGACCTGAAGACAGTATGTGTGCATAAGTTGCCCTGAGGGACGGGGCTGGGCTGTATCTCCCCCATGCCCCCAAAGACACCCTCTCTCCAGGAGTCTAAGGTTCTGTAAGGCAGGCAGGAAAGGGAAGGCACCCACACTTCGACCCCGGGACCACTGGCTGGGGAGAGGAATTAGAAACACCTCGGCGCGGGAGCTCCTGAGCAGGAAAGTTGATCCGGAACAGCGCATTTCCTGCTTAGAGACGCAAACCCCCGGCCTGGGGAGGGACGCGGGTCCAGAGAGTGGGAAAGTGGTTGAAAGCAGCCCGCACTTCTCCCAACTTCGTGTGTAACGAGAATCCCCAAAGTCTTTCTCTCCATCACCCTTTCCCGTCGCCAAGGCCGAGAGGCCGCCACTGAGGAGGACAGGGCCAGGGGAGGGTCCTGTGGGTAGAGGCCTCTAGAGCTGGGGGCTGGCGCTGCGCCGCGCGCGGGCGGGACCAGACAGCTGCTATCTTTCGGGCTCTCCTTCCTCCCCTCCAGCCCGAGACCTTCGACCTTACATCCCAGACCCACGGGAGGAGACCCGAAAGATTTCAAAAGGCGCGGTGCCACCACCTAGTCCCAGGCCTTGCCTGGGTGGTGTGGTGATCCTACCTGGGCGGTGAGGGACCCCGCCGAGGAGGTGTGGGGATTCAGTCGGGGAAGTGCGGAAGTGCGGGGACCCTACTGGGAGGTACACGACCCTACCTGGGAGTGTTGTAGGGGGTGTGACGTCCTCTGCCGAGTTCCCGCTGCCCACCGCTACCTCCCTCAAGACTTCCCAAGACTTGTTCAGTATCTGACTTACAAATGCAAAGGCCTTATTGTTGTTCTTTGTTCCTGAGACGCTACTATTGTCTATTCGGTGGGCCACTAGGGAGTTTTCAAAGGGTTTGAGGCGCTTTGCTCCTTCCCCGCCCCCATGGACTTGCCCTTCTGAGTTAACACGGATCTGTCTGGCGGCCCGTGGGTCCTTCCCGATCGCCTGCAGTGTACTTAGTACAACCCCTGTTTTCCAAGCATCAAAAGCACAAAAACTTGCAGGAAATCACCCAGCCTTGGCTGGTCACTTAGAGGACAAGGGAATGCCTGGCTATGACTCCTCGGGTCTGAGCCACAGTTCGTCACCTACCGGTGTTAAAAGGCCCCTAAGTGGTAATGGCCACAGCTTCTCGATAGAGTTGTCGCCTCCTTGGCCAGCGCGTGGATCCCTGAGTACGACCCGGGACGTGAGGTTAGCTCAGTTACTAGCGCAGAGGTCCTCCCGACAGGAACCGTGTACTCGGCTCTTAATTCAGCAAAGTTTGATCATTTTGACCCTACCCCACCCCCCGCGCATAAACCTCTCTTGTTGAGAAAAGCAAGGTTTGCAGGAAGCCATTCCGGATGTTTGCTGCTTTTCATGTGGCATTTGTGGCCCGGTCTGATAACGCCCGGAGCTCGACTTCCAGCGCGGCGTTTAGTACAGGGACTGAAATAGAAGAGTCCAAAACACTGCGCCGGGGTCTGGGGCGCCGTTCCCCGCCTCCATTAAATATGTGACAAGAGAATTAAGAGAAACAATTATATCTAGATTAAATATATGTAAAAGGGACCAGTATTGGGAAGGCACCATAATTCCTTCCTGGAATTTCGATAAAATAAACTGCTGCTTTATATCTCCCAGGGAGGATGTTATGAGAAGTGGGGGAAGATGCGCTAAAGGGACATGTGCTTGAAGCTCCAAGTCCCTCCTAGGCATCTTCAACTTTCACCTGATTTCTCAGTAACCTTAGAAGACAAGGATCAATAGCTAGAATCTTTGTACAAGTGCAAGTAACAATGCGGAACCCTCAGATTTTCTTCCGAATGATTGTATATCCCTTCTTGACTCCCCAGCACATCTGTTCCTATATGGGGAGAATGAGGAGGAACAAACGGATGGAGAACATGTACAGGATAAATGTGCAGGTATACATTTTTAAAATTCACATGTGGATTTTATTTCTTGTACTCTTACTTTTAAAGGAACTAGTCTATTAGATTAACTAGTCTATTAGATTAATTCAGACAGATAAACTGGGTTCTGGAAAATACATTGTTTAGTTTTCAATTTCAATTCTAAGAAAACTATTAGTTCATAAAAGCTTTTGTGCTAATAGAAAACTCTACTTTCAGATTTTGAAAATATGTTTACTAAGAAAAATTAGAGGCCTCTAAGGAGCTCTGGTGGCATAGTGCCTAAGGCATTTGACTGCTAACCAGAAAGTTAGCTGTTCAAACCCACCAACCACTCTCCGGAAGGAAGACTGGGCAATCTACTAAGGGGTGGCTATGAGCTGGAATTGACTCTATGGCAGTGAGTTTGTTTTTTGGTTTTGAAGAAAACAGCACAGGAAAAGGAGCTATGATATTAATTTGAAATATTCCCAGTGTAGTTTTCTTATTTATATAACATTTGCATTGCATTTGAAATCCATTTTTTTTTCAGAAAATGAAGCTTTAAAGGAAAAGTACATAATCAATTAAATTTATGCTCAACTGCTTTAAAACTACCAATTAAAAAGAACACCCCTCTATATTTTCGGAGGACATTAAAAAAGGCGTGTGGATCCACTTCCCAAAAGCAATTAAAAATCCTATGGCCTTAGTTGTACTCTGACACCCATGTGGCTATGACTTGGCACTGACTCCATGAGAACTGGGTTTTTTGGGGGGGAGGGGGAAGTGAGGGGTGGATAATTCGCTTAAGCAGATTTTAAATCTTTCCTTCTCTGAACCTCAGATACCCAGAAACCAGAACTATTAACTGGCTGGTGAGGGCAAGGGAAAGCAGCCAACATTTCACAGTTACTCAGAGAGTTAAAGAAAAATTGGTTGAAAACAAGTGTGTAGAAGTTCTTTGGAGAAAAAGCAATGTCAAAGAAACTGAAGAAAGGGCCAGGGATTTGCAAAGGCTCAGTGCTTCTTTGTTTTGATGGATGGCACTAAAAAGTTGAACTTGACAGATGACTTTGTCACTGTAATGTCACATCAAAAGTTGCCCAGTTTCTCTCTCAGATTTCTGGATGTAAGCGCTACCTTTTTCATCACCCCTTCATAGTAAACAAACAAAATCTCTTCTGGAGAGTGATGTATTGCTTTCTTTTGCAAAGTTATCTTCAGTTATGCAGGAATGATTGTATTAGTTGCCTTAGAGAACAACACAAATACACAAGTACAACAGCCTGCACAGAGATAGAAAGCTTCAAATCTAGAGGCAGACTAGTAGATGTGAATTCTACACCCACCCCCATCCTTGTCCCATTGCTATAGTCTGGTGAATTCCCAAACGTTTGTGCCTCAGTTTTCCCTCCTGTAAGATACACTAGTGTCTGCCTCACTTGTCGTGGGCATAAAGTAGTTTGATAATGTTTGGAGGGTGTAACACGCAACAAATCTTGTATAAGGGTTTGTTTAAAAATTCCACTGAAGATATTTTTTAGTTCTAAATGCAATTGGGCATTTAGATAAATATTGCTCATTTTTTATTTTTTATTTTACCACATTTTAGAAATAAAAAATGTCTTGCTTCTTTTATGGAACACATGAGAAATTGTTTTGCTATGTTTATTATACTTTTTTTTTTGTAGAAACAAACGTTCAAGGAATGGTTTATCATTATGAGTAAAACTTAAATTCTTCAGAGTGGGTGACTGGATACTGACTACAAGGTGTCATTCCATATTCAATTTTTTTTTTGTTAGAAAATGATGAATTTACCTAGGACATGGTATTTTGAATATAATATAACAACTAGGTTGAGTTCTTGGGCAGCGATTTATTTTCTCTCTCTCTTTTTTTTTTGTCATGTGCCGTTTGCATTCTATAAAAATACGTTTGAAGAAGACACTCGTGTGGTTCCTTGGAAGAAAGCTAGATTATCCACCAGTGAAACATTTTTCGTTCGTGTAATAAAGATTTGATTTTAAAGGGATTAAGGAGGCAGTTCTACCCCGTCCTGTAGGGTCTCCATGAGTTGGAATCAACTCCACGGCAAGGTTTTTTTTTTTTTTTTTTAATTATTAAATTAAGGGGTACTTAGTTTGTTAATCAGAACTGCAGAGCAGCAAGCATCTTTGAAAGATTTTACAACCATCTTCCCCAGGGGCGAGGACTTAGTGCCAGAGCCAGGCTCCAGCCAGTTTTCCTCCGGGCAGGTGTAGCCCAAAACGCGGGGCAGGGGGAGGGAAAACGGGCGGGCTTGGGGTTGAACCCGGACTTGGGACTCCAGCAGCGGGCTGGGCGTGGGCTTACGGACGCCCGCTGGCCCGCCCTCGGAGCTCCATTGGCCACGGAGGGGCAGAAAAGGCTCTGCGGACTGGGGTCTCCACAGTGTCACAGCTCTGGCCGGCACGCAGAGCTGCGCTGAGGCTTGGGAGTAAATGGGATCTTAGGCAGCTGAGTAGATGCCACAGGGGCCGCCGCAGTGGTATTCTTAGCCTCCCAAGGCGGGCGCGGGCATCTCCGGGCTGGGGGAGGCGGCGATTCCGGCCGAGGGCTGCGGGTTGAGGGGCCGGCCTGGAGCGCCATGAGTAGCCCGGATGCGGGGTACGCCAGTGACGACCAGAGCCAGACCCGGAGTGCGCTGCCCACGGTGATGGCCGGGCTAGGCCCCTGCACATGGGCCGAGTCGCTGAACCCCCTTGGGGACATGAAGGTGAAGGGCGAGGTGGCGACGGGTAGCGGCGCGCCAGCCGGGGCCTCGGGCAGGACTAAGGGGGAGTCTCGTATTCGGCGACCCATGAACGCCTTCATGGTGTGGGCGAAGGACGAACGTAAACGCCTGGCGCAGCAGAACCCAGACCTCCATAACGCGGAGCTGAGCAAGATGCTAGGTGAGTCGGAGGCAGGGTTTCAGCGCCAAGGGCCCCAAGTGAAGCGCTCAGCGGGTTACTGGAACCTAAAAGTGCTTGTCACTGGGTCATGAGTCCCTAGATCCGGATTGTGTTGCTCCCATGCCCTTCTCCAGGGCCTTCGTTCCTTCCTGATTCCCGCTATCCCAACTTTCCAAACTGGCTTTCGGCCTTGGTCTTTGGTGCTGTTGGCTGGGAGAGCGCGGGCTGCAGTGATTCGGGGGAGATCGGCTCTCCTAAGAGTTAGAGCTGCGGCGAGGGCACCCCTGTCCCTGACCCGGGTCGGCTCTGACTTTGGTCACCCCTGACCCGTTCTGGAGCCCTTCACTGGCTGGGGGAGGTGATTCAGTTTCTCGAAAGCCCGGGGGACAGGCAAGCAGCGATGGGGAGGTAAAAGGAAGGCAGGGGAGGGTTCAGAGGATCGAGGCTGCATCTTCCGTCCTTAAGTGCTCGGAATTCACTTTAAGCAGTCAGCGTCCCAGACCTTACTCCTTTAACTTGACCCTGTTCCCCAGGAGTTGCCCACTTAAAAGCCGGGGCCAGGAGCAGAGTGCGCGGGTAACCTCTAGTACTCTCATCTCCCTGTGCAGGCAAATCATGGAAGGCGCTGACACTGGCAGAGAAGCGGCCCTTCGTGGAGGAGGCAGAGAGGCTGCGCGTGCAGCACATGCAGGACCATCCCAACTACAAGTACCGCCCGCGGCGCCGCAAGCAGGTGAAGCGGTTGAAGAGGGTGGAGGGCGGCTTCCTGCATGGCCTACCAGAGCCACCGGCCGCCGTACTGGGACCTGAGGGCGGCCGCGGGAGCATGGACGGCCTGGGCCTTTCCTTCGCGGAACAGGGCTTCCCTCCCGGCCCGCCGCTACTGCCCCCGCACTTAGGCGGCCACTATCGCGACTGCCAGGGCCTGGGCGCGCCCCAGCTCGACAGCTACCCGCTGCCCACGCCCGACACGTCCCCGCTGGACGGCGTGGAGCCTGACCCGGCCTTCTTCGCTGCCGCGCTTCCCGCGGACTGCCCGGCGGCCTCGGGCGCCTACAATTATCCTCAGGCCTCGGACTACGGGGGGCCCCTAGAGCCGCCTACTGGTCCTCTGCACCCCCGGCTCGGCCCTGATCCCGCCAGCCCTGCGCTGTCGGGCCTCCTGGCGCCCCCCAGCGCCCTGCACATGTACTATGGTGCCTTGGGCTCGCCGGCGGCGGCGGGCGGCGCGCGCTGCTTTCAGATGCAGCAGCCTCAGCACCCACCCGGGCCCGGGCAGCCGTCGCCCCCTCCCGATGCGCTACCCTGCCGGGACGGCACGGACCCAAACCAGCCCACCGAGCTCCTCGGGGAGGTAGACCGCACGGAGTTTGAACAGTATCTGCACTTCGTGTGCAAGCCCGAGATGGGCCTCCCTTATCAGGGGCATGACTCTAGTGTGAATCTGCCGGACAGTCACGGGGCCCTCTCCTCAGTGGTGTCCGATGCCAGTTCTGCGGTATATTACTGCAATTATCCTGACGTTTGACTGGTCCCTGAGCTGCCGAGCCTGCAGCCCAGAGTCACAAACAGTGTTACACACTTCCTGGAGAAGCTAAGGAAATCCTCAGCCTCATGTTCTGTTTTTGTTTTTAAGTTGCCTTGGCATATAATTTATGGTAATTTATTTTGACCGCCACTTGAACATTTGGGAGGAATGTGAGGTGGTGTTTTAAGATTTGTTCAAAGATTTGTCTACAATTGCATTGTCAACCCCATTTCCAAGTTAAGTTTACCAGTTTTGAATGTGTCACAGAATAACTGACTTCATTTCCTGAAAGTTTATTGATCAAGAAATTTTGTCATGAGTGTGCCTTTTCAATCTTTTACAAATAAAATGTAAATTTTTTGCTTTTTTCACTCTGCCAGTGCCTTTGTCACACTAACCAATCTTACCCAAGAGCTAAGCCTTTACAGTCAGTAAACATTTAAGTAAGTTACAGTAAGTTAACATTAAGACTTAAAAAAATACGTACGTGGTGATCTTTAATATATAGTTTTCTATAGATTTCTCATTGGTTTCAAAGAGAAGTCATGAAAATGAGTATTAGGGATATCTATATTTGTTCCAAATTGATTTGCTAGAAAAAAGGAACTTTTTGGAATGCACCTATGCCATTCATTCCAAATGACCTTATTCTCAATGAAGTAATGGTTAATCTTATATAAGTATTTATTTATTCTAGTATATCACTTTAATCAAAGAGGAGTACCCAAGTGGTTTTGGTTTTCTGCTTATTGAAAGTACCTTTCAGACCTACTACAGAAGGTTTCTTTCTTTTTTTGCTTGTTTTCTTTACCCTATATCTCCACTGAACTTGCCTTTAACTCTCATGTTTCTAACTTTGGGAAATGCAGTTGCTGGGTTAAAAATAATTTGAAGGAATCACAGGAGCTCATCAAACTAAAACTTGTATCGTGACTTTTACTTTTAATGAACCTGAGTATCTAATTCCAATAGTGTATATTGACACTGTATGTTAACTGCATATGTGACATTTTCTGGCTCCTGTAGTTTGTTTGTTTGTTTAATTGTGATTTGGGTGAAAGTTTACAAAGCAAATTAATTTTCCATACAGCAGTTCATACATATTTTTTGCTTTATGACATTGACTGCCATTCCCCATAATGTAACAACTTTCTTCTCACTCCTTCCCTGTAAGTTACCTCTTCCTTGTGTCCTTCTTTCCTGTGAATTCCTGTCCCCTTAGCAGTCTCCCTGTGCAAACACTGACCTTCTGTTTTCCCATGGTTGATTGCTCTAAGGAGTGTATTTACCTGATGTAAATGTTCACCCTATAGGACTGTCTATTTTTGGGCTGGAGAAGCCATGGGAGTATATTAAATTCCAGACCTGAAGGGTAACTAAAGGGCTGTAGTCTCAGTGGTCTCATCAGGCTCTATCAGACTGGTAAACCAGTAGTCTTTATGATTTTGAATTTTGTTCCACATTGTCCTCTCAACTCTATCCAGGATCTGACTCCTGAAGCTCTTGAGCTTTGGGGACAGTCCATAGTTGATTTCTGTATGTATAGTGTGCTTTACAAATACTAACCCTACAACTATAGGGTATCATTGTTCGGCCTTTATGGAGAAGAAACAGTCTCACAGCATTATAAGTAGGCAGTGAAGCTCAGCAGTTTCCTGTAGTGCTTTGAATAGCTGTAGTGGTTTCATGAAATCTTCAGGATTGAGACACAGGTTGACATAACTGGGCATGTACTGTATCACAAAAAGGAGCTCTGGTGGCAAGTGGTTAAAGCATTAGGTTGCTAACCAAAAGATTGGCAGTTCAAACCCACCAGCTGCTCTGCTGGAGAAAGATAAGGCAATCTACTTCCATGAAGATTTAGGCAATGGTGGCAAAATTAGGGAAAGCTTTGGAATGCATTAGAGGCACCAACACAGTTTTAAGTTAATGTGTATTGTAAAGTGTAGACACAGGATGGATGACGTGACATCATCAAATAGACACAAGGCTGCCCTGTCATTTCCTAACTGGAGACCAGCATAGAATCAACACACCTCTGAGAGAGCCAGAAAGATAGAGTGCATTTTCCTTCCCACTAGAACCCTGACTGCATCTCTATTAAAGGGACTAGTGGGTCTAATAAATTATATTAAACTCATAGGTTACCCAGACAAACAGCTAAGAAGTGATATCATAGTGAAATGATCACTTTTACTTACCTCAGGTTACTGTACCTTTAGTTTGAATCACATTACAAACAATCAGGTTGTTCTTCAAATCTGTGCTGATACCAGAAAAAGCACATACAAGCCAAAGTAACTCAGAGAAAATGGGGTGGGAGGTTATGAACCAAAATACATCATCTCAGTCTAGCATTTTTTAAAAAAAATTATTTTAAGAATTTATCTAGCATTTAAAAAAAATTATTTTAAGAATTTGTTTTACGTTCAACATTGTTGTATGTGCTCTCCAGTTGGACCAACTCATAGCGACACCTCCTTGGGTTTCCAAGGTGGTATCACTACATTACGTGTACATTTAGTTTCACTCCCCATTTACCATGCCCAACCCTAACCCAGTCTCCTCCCTTCCCTGCCTAGTAACACCCAGCCTCCAGTTATGCACTCCTGTGTATCCTGCATTTCCTCCTGTGTGAGTGTTGCCCCTCTGGTGCCCTGTGGTCTATTGCTCTAAGGTATGCATTTCTATAGAGTACATAGGTGCATCACCCTGGGTTGAGTGGACTGCATGTACATCTTGTTTACTATTGGGCTGAGAGCTAACCCCTGGGAGTGAGCTTTATTCCAGGCCCAGAATGTATCCCAGGACCACAGTATTGGGGGTCTCACCAGATTCCATCTGACAGTAATTCTGGTCATTCAATCTAGCATTTTTAAATGCCAGCTTTTATTTTGTTTTTAATACTTAAAACTATGCTTGTCACATAATGTCCAACATTCCCTTCCTCATCTTATGTCCTTTGATTTATTTTGACAATATTAGACAGTTAGTTTACATTCATTCATTCAGCACAAATTTATTCTTCCTGCTTAAAAGATGCTTCTTTCTGAGTCCAGCATATTTGACTGGGGAAGGAAGAGAAAAGCACCGATGCCCCTACCAAGTCCTCATCCGGTGTAGAATGAGGAACCAAGTTTCAGCTCAATTTTCTCAACAGTAAGGAACCCGTGGTCAGTCCAACATTTCTTCAGGTCCTCTGGCTCTGTGATCCAGTCTGTATATCCTCCTTAATTTTGCCTATAATACCTATCCCCACCCTCCCTATGGTGAGAAGTTTCCTGTGAACTTTGTACTGCACTGTCAGGCAGCTTTATTGAATTAATTCAGTTTGCACCCATTTCTCCTACATAAACCCTGAACTCTCACCATCAGCAATAATCCCAGGTTTGTTCTAGATACTGAAAATAAACATTTCTTAGTGCAGTGCTGAGTATGTGATCAATGCTTAATAAATTATTATGATGATAATGTTTTTAATGTAAAATTTCTCTGCAGCTCAGATATAAAGAGCAGTGTGGCTGAAATAAAACAAGACAAAACAAAGCAACTTACTCTGTAACAGATTCCTGAAGGAATTCTAGCTTTGAGGATCTTGTTTTCACTGTAGCCCAAGTCTTAAACATCTTGCCAAGTTGACTTCATAGCAAGTATTCCTAAAACTGATGTTGCTCAAATACATGGCTTTTTGAAGACCTACTTCCTGACTGAAGATTCTGATGAGGGTAAATACACAAAACTGGAATGCCTCTAAGAAGCTCTGGTGGCACTATGGTTAAGGCATTGATTGGGCTGCTAACCAAAAGGTAGGCAGTTCAAACTGACCAGCTGCTTCACAGAAGGAAGATGAGGCAATCTACTTTCATAAAGATTTACAGCCTTGGAAACTCAATGGGGGTCACTATGAGTCGGTATGGACTCCATGGTAGTGGGTTTGGGACCTGCCTGTGGGTCTGATTGATGCCCCTTCTGCTGTCCCACATCCTTGATACCTTGTTGGGTAAGAAAAGCAGCAAGTGGCAAGCATGCAGTAAGCTGAGCAGGTTTTGGTCTTCTCTGGCTAGTTGGAGAGCTCCCAAGGCATGGCTGGCCTCACTTTCCTTCTGTATCACCTGATTTGGCACTTTAATTGCTCATCAAACCTTTATTGACTAACTCACTTGGTAAGTGGTATCACAGTTTTTTTACTGGGAGTTCTAGAGAGAACTTGGGAGTTCCTGCTTTGTCTGTCTCTCTTTATTTCAAATGATCATCAGTGACTAAATTCCTTTCTTCTGAATAATGTGTCAGGCACAGGAACTTACCCAAGAGACTGAGATATGGGAGCAACTGAGTAGAAAATGACAGACTAATGCCATGAGTGACAGTGATCCAGAAAGAAGCTCCGCATTTTGAGTTAGAAGATTCATCTTGCTTAGGCATTTAGCTTTATGGTTTTGCAGAAGTCACTAATCTCTTCTGAACTCTAGTCTGCTCATCATTAGAAAGCAGGAAAAATTAGAATAACCCTGCATGCCTTACTGAATTGTTGTAGGGATCAAATGAGAATTGCTTGCAGTGCCACAGAAAGGATAGTTTCTCCCCATCTCTGTTGTTTACTTTCAGGTGTCTTATTATCTACTTCTGCAGACTTCAGGGATTTAATTTCTCTGGTGGTGTAGTGCCTAAGGCATTTGAATGCTAACCAGAAGGCTGGAGGTTCAAAAACGCCAGCCACTCCTCAGAAGGAAGGTTGGGCAATTGGAAACCCAAGGAGGGGTCACTACGAGTCAGATCCAACTGGGTGGCAGTGAGTTTGGTTTTTGGTTTTATTGGGAAAGAGAAGACAGCAGGGTTTTTTTTTTTTTTTTTTTGCCTCCCCTGAGTTCTTTACATATGGATTGATAATTTTATAACCTTGTAAATATCATCTATATTAGCTAGAGATACAGATCATCTCCGTTTTGTTCTGAGCTTTGAACAATTGTGCCTCTTTGATTACAAAATGAGAATAGAAATAA